ACCGCAATTGAGACCGAGCTCTATCCTGAACATCTGGAAGAAGATCCCAAGCATAGCTATCATTCTTCCTAACACCGGAAAACGGGAGCCATCTGTCGGTGATCGGATCGAAGTCGCCATACTGAGACTGGTTCAACATGTGAAGCGCATTCCGCTCCCTCACCAGCTCCCTTTGGTGTTCTTCATCCTGGGAGACCAGAGGCGAATGCGACTGCGAGCTCAGAAGCAGGTAGAAAACTACCAGAAAGAAGAAGAAAGAACCGCGGTGATCCATAGGTGGCCACAAGTCGCGGACATCGAACGGAGGAGAGTCTCTCCTGTAGGTCCAAGTTCTGGTGTGCTGCGCAGCGACGGGCAGCCCGAGATCCTCGACTGTTGAAAGAGCACGATGATCAAGCAGTACGACGTCACTATCGGAGTAGCACGTGATGCAGCGACCGGGAGGGGCCACGGGACAGTCGGAAGGGTCGATGACACATGGATCCAAACAGAAGTTGGCTGGTACCAGACAATTGAAGAGGCTAGACCGTGTGCTGTCGAGATATCGCAGGTCCAAGATGCATCGAGGCTGCAACCCCCCTCGTATACAACCAAACTAAGACGTGCCGGCACGCGTTTCCGGGGGATGAAGATAGTGTCTTATCGGGAACGAAGGCTACTTAGATAGACTATAGATTTAAAGGGGCTGGCGGGTAAGAGCGAGACAGGACCGGCGCACGTGAGGGGTCGGTTCGGGGCAATAGATAATCCGGTAGATGTACTTATTACTATCGATCGATCTACCGCCATCTCGTCTTCGGCGACCGGCCAGGTACGGCCATGCGAAATACTTTGTCAAGAATGGAGGTTCTGTCATGCTAGCTATATAAGGAGCATGGGTCCAGGTGTCCTCGTCAAGCTGATTTATGGATGAAGAGGATAATCTGTAGAAACGAGTTGCTTGGTGTCCCAAGTCCACAAGACTGGACGATTCTGGATTTTCTGAATAATCAGGGGATAACTGGAAGCAAGAAGAAAGCTACGGATCAAACGAACGAAATGAAGCATTGATAAGACGAACTGAAAGCAATGAAAGAGCCCAGCGAGGCGGAGCCGCTGCATGCGATTTGCGATCAAAGCAAAGTAAGGAAGTAAATTTAAAACGAATAAATGATGCAAACAATTTTGTCTAGATGTCTCTGCTATGAATCATTCAGACGGTAAAAACCCCTCCTAGCACTGCTAGCATGACTGTAAGGCGGGCTCGAGTGGACCAAAGGCCAAAATGGATGATCCTGGATTGACTATGAAATTGATTTGAATTGTTTCCGTTGTATAATCATGAACGACAACTACTCATGGCAGGGAGTTACATGTCAACCCGCTGTTTAAAGAGACTCTTGCCCCTCAGCCATTGTCGATAGCGCTTATAACGTTTCTTCTCATAATCCTCGGCTACCACAGTCAGGCCTCCCTCGGAGACGTTTAAGAACTCGGCATAATCAGCGAGGTTCTCCTCGGCATTAGCTTCCAGAGTGGCCTCCTCTACGTTGCATTTATTGGCATATTCCAACAAATCCAGACTGGATTCATGCTCGCGGATGGAAGTGGCAGTCAACTCATCTTCAGAGGTCACAACAAGCGGAACTTTCAACGGATGGTTGATGTAGCGTTCGTATTCTTCTCCTTCTGCAGCTGTCACGGAGGGGTTTAGCGAGTCGGTCACCAGCTGGCCAAGAGTCCACTGCGCAATTTGCGTTTTGCTCGGAGTGTTGACCGTCGACTCCTGAGAAGAGTGCATGGAACTGAAGGAGTGAGGCAGTCCGAATGATGTAGCTTTCATGATACCCGCAGACGGTGGTAATTTATCAGCGGAAGGCGGCAGATGGTTCCAGTTGTAGCTGGATTGGGGTGTTGCGCTACCGAGTTGTGGACGGCCCGCTGGATCAATGGAAGTCTTAAGCGGTTCCTGAATCTTGACGCTACGTGGTGGGTGTCGCTCCCGGTTGATCTGATCGTGCGGGATCCGAGGAACAAACGGACTAATGTCGTAGGGGGCGCCGGAGCCAGGCCGGAATGGAAGATAGCGAAGCGTTGAGTTCATTTTGTAAGAGAAGATTTTCGAGAATGACGACACGGCTAATGGCCTATAGTACTCGAGCCAGTAATCGTCGTAGTGGGAGAGAGGTTCCTTTGGGGGTCGCGGAGGGGGTGGCACTTCTTTTTCCTTCAGATTCTTAGGAGTGTACCAGCAAATGTAGTTGGGACGCCTCTTGTTGGACCAGGATCGCGGATCAGCGTGGTGCAGGTAATAATCGGTTGACAGATCCCACAGCATCGGCTGTCCTTGGGAGAAGATGTAGTTCCCAAGGAACAGATTATAGGCTTCCTGGCGCTGGGCATCGAGAAATGAATTGTTGTAGTACCGCTTGAAACTCTCCACCATGTCGCGAGAATGACTACTCCACTGATTGATTTTGCGGTATGTGGCCATAGTGTTCACCAGATGCGAGCCTCCATACTGGATTGCAATAGTATCACCGTGGTCGTGCCACATATCAGTGAATAAGTTGACAGCATCGGTGTCATACTCCACAGTCGTTCCATCGATAATACCCAGAGCGTGAAGTTGGTATCCCAAGGCGCGCTTTCCAATCACGAATTGCGCCGCATTTGTACGGTCTAAACAGTCGATGCAGTTCGTCCTCGCGATGCCATTTTGCAGACGCAAGCCAGACTCTGCATCGTATCCGTTCTTGAAGAAGCCGGTCTTCGGGACAATCTCGCCTGCAATATGCTCCAAAGTTCCAATAACATCTTGGTCTCTGCTTTTCGCGGCACGGCTCATGTCCCAGGGCTGATATATAATCTTCTTATCCTCCGGCAAGAACTGGTTCAGGTATTGAATGGCGTTCGTATACTCCTTGAGCAACTTGGACTCCCGTGGGGTTCGTTCTCGCGACTTTATCAGGTTGAGCACATAAACTGGTGCGCCGTATCTCTCAAAAAGGTTGTCAAAGTGTAGTGCAGCAGCGGAGTAGAAGGGGTCAACAAGGTTTAGTTCGATATCAGGTTTGGGAGACACCCCTGAGTTTTCCTGTGTCCAGTAGAGCGGAATACTCCCACGGTGTTGCACGTAAGAGGTGTACAGCGGGTTAGCATAGAGATTTGGACCGGGCGAATGGAATGACGTGGCTGTCATCTCGGACACAATCTGCTCCGTTTCAACATCGTTTGCTACATAGCCTAGATCATTCGCGCCTCTCTTCAGAAAACGGGCCCCTGCGAAGAATCGAGAGCGTCGCGCAATGATCGTGATGTAAACTAACCGTCCATACACTGACATCTTAGCCTGTTCGACATATCCGTGGATGATGGGCAAACACCATTCCCACGGATTTTTCAGAGTTTCGAGGGCCGGCCCAAGAATATGGTGATTCCAGATGAACATCGTATTATAGTCTTGTTGTAGGTGTTTCGGGTGTCCGTCCTGGTTGGCGGTGCGTTCCCGACAAATGTTGTGCTGCAAAGTGTGGGTAATATCGTAAGAATAGCTGAAGTAGAAGGACCGGGTTAGATCCAAATTGTTTAAAATGGCAATATACCTCGCCTCCTCCGGGTTCTTCTCCGGACGGAGACGAGACGAGCTTGAAGTCGTCAACGAGATGAGCTCCGTTCCATCGATCTGATATACATAGTGACCTCCGAGCATAGCAACTTGGCTTCTCTTGGTTACCAGAAGCATGTAGTAAGCATCCGTAAATCGTATAAACCCCAGTAAAGCCCATGCACTACATTTCAGCTTTAAACCACCCGACCTTTTATTCCCATCATCGATCGTATCCAACAACTGGCTCATCTCCCGCTTGCTGTAAACAATATCATCCTCTGAGATGCTGAGGTCCCCGGATTCCGACGTCCGATCGATCTTGAGAATCCTGAAGCGGGTATCCGACAAGTCCATGCCCACCATGTAGAATCGGGTGGCTGTCTCATACAAGGAGAACTTGTGCATGCGATTGATCCCTTCATCTCCTCCGGTGTCGAAGAAGGCCGAGCGTTGCTTTTGCGCCGAGGTCGGCGTAGAATCCCGCTCAAAGGACGTTGCAACCTGGGGCTCTTCATCTCCTGCCTCCACCCCATCTTCACTCAGGGCAGGAACTGCTGGGGACGCGTAATGTAATGGTGTGAACGGGGAGGCCGCGCGGGGCGATCGGAGGCCATCTTCATGATCGATAAAGCTCCGCGGAGCCGATTCAGGTTGCTCTTCCGGAAACTTGGTGCTGGAGCCGGAGGTAAACGAGGCATCGGCGTAAGGGAGGTTGACATCTGAGGTAGAGTTTGGCGAACTGGTGTCTATCAGGGACACCGCTCTGGAGGACTGGTCGTCCAGTGGGCCGAGGCTTTTGTCTTCCGCGGCTTCGCGGGAGAGGGACACTTCATCCAGACTCTCCATGATAAAGACAGAGGCTGGTGAAAGCCCGCACCAGCATCATATGTGATCTCGGTTGTTAGCGCGCAGCGCCTATGCGACAAGAGGTTCAAAACGGCAACTAGAGTAGTGACGTCGGACGCGGATGTGAGTGGGGGGGGATCGACTTGCGACAAGGTGCTCCACGTGATCGCAATCTCCCGAATGAGGCGCCGATCAGATCTACTAACCACCATCCAGATCGTTCCAACAAACGAAAACCTATTATAACGAAAATAGGGTTATACAACGGCATCAAAGGCCTAATACGCTGAGGCAATTTATGAGATCATGTGAATAATATTTATATTGGATAAGAAAATCCCTGAACATAACGTCGTTTATAGGCAGCTCGGCAACATGCAACAGTCGTCTTGATCAGACGGCTACCCGATACATTGATACTCTCAACTAAACATGTGATTCAGATTGCAGGTTCCATTCATGCTTTGCCACTAGGGCCCTGCCATTTAGTAACACTAGCCCTGAAGTGACGAGTACTTGAATTCGAATATATCCTGAACTTCACGACTGGATATCAGGACATTCCCTACAGATCCTCACTCCCATGTTCCGCTTTCTCAATCTCTGTCAATGCCTTCTGTATCATCTCTTGCGTACTCGCCCGGGGGAACTGAAGCTGTGCCGCCTTCAAGCCGTTCCTCCAATGATACCACTTTTTCATGGTAAAGCGCTGTCGCGGAGAAGGATTATCAGCGTCTCCGAATGTTCGTCGGACCTGGCAGTTCTCCCACATCCGCTGGCTGGCATAAATATACCAGATACATGATATACGCACAGCCTCTTCCACCAGCGGATCACACTCCTCAAACGTTTCTCGGCACGCCCATAGCGCATATAGTGATGCATCAATGGTATGGCCGAGATGGTCTGCTTTCGCGGTAAGCTGCGCCATGAACGCATTGCGGTTCTCCCACTCCTGGAGCTCGCTCGGGGGATACTCCCTTCGGGGATCATCGTCGACCTGCTGGGCGTACTCTATACGTGACACCAATTGCGGTCAGCCGCGGAATTAACTGAGGAAATATATCAGGGAATAGGTGTAACGCACCGGGTTCATATTTGAAAAAATACATATCCCTCAAGTACACTCCGAGGTAGGGGAGCTCGGTCCACAGCTTCATGTCCACCGCCGTTGGCTCTTCACCTGAGACAGGATCGATAACCTTGGTGCGTTGGAGATGGTCGATAAATTCTATAAACTTGTGCTGCTGCGCAGCTGGGGTAAGGCTCACGAGATCTACGACGGTAACCATAGCAATCCATGTGTGTGTGCCATCGATATCCGTCGGAGGTTCCCGTCCCTCCCGATGTAAGACCTCACGCACCCTAAGAAGCCGTTGGACTGCCTCTGCAGGAGACACATCGGGATCCTGGACAAACGCTTTGATAACTTGATATTCCGGGCGCGCAAGGAACTCTTCGCTAAAGTTGTGCATGGTAAGGAGTGATCAGGGAGTCAAGGAAACAAGATTCAAGACAAGTGTTGAGTGCTTTATATGAAGGGCGTGGGGGAAGATTAGACGGCGGTCAGCACTAGCCGGGATACCAGCTGTTATATACTATAGCACTGCCAACAAACAGTACCACTCTTTTTCCAACACGCCACCTTAGATCCACCCTCTTATGTTATGAATACCTTCCGGTCTCTGTGTTGGGCGCACATGATGCAAGGCATAACCCCACTTTAGAGAGTTTCGAATCCGCATCTGACGGGAGATATTTATATGAAGTGATTCTAAGGTGGGCGGGAGGGGCCGTTGGCCCGTAAGCTTTGAGCCATGAAGATCTCCCGGTTTACTTGGCCCCAGTGCAGTGTGTGACAGGACACAGATAGGCAAGCTGTATAGCGCACAATCTACTGAAACCCTTGATGGGAGCTGCGATGCCTTTTGATGCCTCGAGCCCCTTCGGCTCGATAGCAAGAGACAAAATGTCATCAGAGCAACAAGGCATAAATCTCCTTCTCTGCACCATCATTGTTTTTAGTTCTATGTCGCCATCAGCTCACTCGTTTACTCAGTCGATCAACGAATCAGCCCGCTTATTCTTTGGCCGCTAGTTTCTCCTCCACATAAGAGAAACAAGCCAGAATCAACACATTTCTTTGAACTTCTAGACTCCCGTGATATCAAATAGGCGCAACATGGATGCGGATTGTGGGCTTGTCTGAAGAGGTACTGGTGTAGTGCCAAACCCCGCGCACAAAAGAGAAAATACTTATAGTATGAGGCATTTCGACCAATCGATAAGCCCTCCGCCAAGGGTCGCCTTCAGTAAATTTTCTTGGTGGCGATGCGAGACTGACCAAGGATGGAAAGTGGCTTTAGCTTTCAAAGAATAAAGTACCGCTGTCAAAGCAGGTGTTGAAAGCTACCCGGCGAGACTCTCGTAAGGCCGGCATTGGCGTGTAGGCCTGCTTTCAGAGCGGCTTTCCGATATGACAGGTCGTTGGTGGGCCTATAAGGGAGTTGCAGGCCGCAATTATGCTCGTCTCTTCCTGCGAGTCAGCGAACCAGAGGAAGCAAAATTCCGATGGGGTATATTAATTTGTGGATAGAGCAAAGCACTGGATATACTGTCTAGAATCTAGCGGCCCGCGGTTTAGCTTCTTGCGTACACAATGTTGCAATTCCCTGACGACAATAGCAAGATGACCTGATTGGAACATCGGCCGTTGCAACTGCTTGCTTCAAGAAAGGCTTCACTATTTGAGCTTCGGCCGTTCGTCCCAGTCTGTTCAGACATTCGTAGTACCCATGCAACGCCCATACGTTGTTCGGGTGTTGCCTTGCACGAGGCAGCGTGTCGTCAAATCCAAGATCAGCCTGGTACACTGCGGCTGCCTCCTGGACATGGCCCTGTTCTAGCAGGAGAGCGCCGTACGCATGGCGGGTCGGTTGCATCCACCCCCACGGCTCGTCATACGGTAATCCATCATCCAGGGTAATAGATCGCCGTAGATGGGTGAAGGCCACGTCATAGTTGCCACGGCGATACTCGAGCTCTCCATCCAGCATAGCGTCAGCCACGGCCAAAATATCCAGACATTTGTTGGTAAATAACATTCGGCTGTATGGTACGCGCTTCACAGCCTCCTTGAACAACGCGCTCTGTTGACTCGCCTCATCAATCCTCCCAAGCGCAGCCAGCGCTACACCTTTTCCGTACTGGATCATTGCAGTGGTGACGCAATATAGCTGCGTGTCATGCGGGTATTCAAGAGCAAGAAGATCCTCCCAACGTCCAAATCGAATCAGAACATGTACATTCATGCTCACAAAGCTTTCCAGCCAGTCAGCCATAGGCGGGGACTCGATACGGAGGAGCTGCTCTGGAATGGATGACTCTAGACTCTTTACCGTCTCCAACGCAACTTGCGACTGCCCCGCAAACATCGCCGCATATACTCTGAAATGATAGTCATGCGATCGGTATAGCGTATAGAAATTGACTGCGCCCTCACGGGCAAGGAACTTCTCATCGGCTCGAATTGCGTCCGAGTTCGACGCAATCGCCCGTCGATAGTCACCACAGAGAATGTCCAGGTGCGATGGCATGTGATTAAGATGGCCTGCATCAGGTACTAAACCCCGCAAATGGTCTGCTACACTCAGTGCTGCTTCTGGCTCACTGGACATCTCCATTAAGTGGATGTATAGATGCAGGATTCCCGGGTGTCGTAGCGCCTCGTCCTGGGTCAGTGCCAGATCTAATACCTTCTTAATATCCGCAGTGCGCGCATCAGCTGCAGGCAGACCAGTTCGTAAGTCCCAGAGGGCCCATGGAGTCAGATTCATGAGGGCATCCGCGTACAAAGCCACCACATCCAAGTCATTGGGAAAGCGTAAGTAAACGGACTCCATGGCGTTAGCGTACTTCTGATTCCAGCCATTAAAGTCATCGGGCGCCACATTCTGGGGGTATCGATGTTGCAGGGCTGCGATGAGCGCTGCTTCCACAGGTTGGGTGGTTGTGGCGTGTATCTGGGCCTCTGCGACAGCTTCATGGGTTCGCTGCACGGCGACCTCGAGTTCTTGCTCGTCGAAGGATTGCCAAGTTTTGTTGTAGTTGGGACCCAAGGTGTATGCAAGACCCCAGTATGCCATCGCACAGGTCGAGTCATGTGCGATGGCCTTTTTGGAAACAGTTGGCAGCTGCTTCGTGATTGAAGGCATATGTCCAGATGAGACCGCGGTCGAACCAGACTTGAGCCTGAGGGCTGGAGGTGGTCACCGGTCGGCTGAAGGAACCGAAGTCGTAATAGCCATCTGGTTCCTGGACAGACATGCTCAGGGAATATTTGAGAATATCACAGCGAAGAAGGGTTTAAAAAGAGATACGTAGGTGGCTTGCCGATGCTGTCCCTGAAGTTGAGGGGGGATGTCCCATAGTAGTAGGTAGTAGTAGTAGATATAGTGAGGATGTCCCCGCTGTCGAACCAAGGTTCCCAGGATGAAGGGAATAACAATAGTCCGAGGACAATCACATAACTATCTCAGGTTCCACCCCGTCACGTCTGTTAGACTAGTCTACATAGTAAGTAGATTCCTCTCGGCTGCAAAAGTTAGTCGACCAGGAGAACACCTAGGCCTACAGGCCGTATATATCGACACTGAAGAAGTTTGGTAAGAGACCTCAAGGACTACGCACTGCTTGAATGTCCCTGAAAGGCTACGCATCTCATCCTACGAAGGAAACATGCAGGTAGGCTGTAGGAAGTGGCTAGGGGCCGAAAAATTGGTAACTTGTAGCCAAATGGCTTGCCAGTTGTGGCATTCATTACTGTCTATTTTAATCGTGTTCGACCGCATTATTTACTCTTACTGTTGTATACACGGGGGTTTCGTGACCTCGTGTTCGTGCTCTTATTCTAGTATTGTTCTCGAGCATAGCAATGATTTTCTGAAAAGAGCCATGGATATAGTGATATAGAGAATGTTCTTTGAACATATCAACTTGTACTTAATTTATTGTAGAAGATACTAAGTCTATATTATCACTATGGTCCAGTAATGAGACCATGTCTCGGAGAAAGATGGAAGAAAGAGAATTTTGATATTATATAGGAACTAAATGTGAATCAAATTGTAGGCTTTGATATACAAATCCTGATAGTGCACCAGCCGGGCGAATACATAAATCAAAAACTCGATTGCTTTTGTCGCTGTATGGATGCCGGTGGCGTGGAGTCAAGACAGAAACAGGCTAGTCAGTTGCGACACTCAAAATGAATTTCTTACTCTTTCTCTAGTGGTATATTTTGGCTATCTTATCAACTGCGTCTATGTACATGTGGCTTGGTGTTGCGCCGTCTACTCATTACTGAAAGTTTGAGTGATCCGACCGTGTTGGGCACCATATTTTGTTGCTTCAGGCGGCCAAGCACCTCCTGCAAAGATAGAATCTTAAGTAGCAAGCAGGCTCGATCAGGTCAACGAATATAAATTGACGAGATCCCCTCAAGTTACTTCTACCTTTCGTTGTTGGAGGACCGATAAGGTACCTAGCTGCAGAGAACATCCTTAACTGCCAGATACCACAAGGACTTCTAGCATGGCCCGCCAGCTAGCGAAACGGAAGAAGGGACGAATTAAAACAGACAAACAGACAAGTCCCACCCAAGTCTAKAAAAAACAAAATATGCCACCATAACCAAGATACTTTTCAGCGCTGCGAGCGCTGTGACCGTATCGTCGACTGACGACGGATGATGTCGCCATTGTTCCATGTCTGGCTTGCCCGGTCCTTTGGATCGAGACTCGTAGAAGCCCCGTGCTMCGGTCGACCCTGAGATTGCTGGCGGTCCATAGACATCTGGCTAAGGCTAGAGGTGCGACGACGCATACGCCGTTCTGCGTCTGCGATCTCGTTCTGATTCAGAGATTCCGAAGGGAGCAGAATGGCGCGGTCCAAGGCATAGGGCAGACCGCGATGACGGCCTCGGATTTGCATCGCAATGATGACCAGCTTGGAGAGAACCTGAAACTGGCTGGAGAAGGAGGCATTGACTCCGGGATACCCGAGCGACAGACCAACAGTGCCGTACGCTGATACGACCTCGAACAGCACCGACCACACTTGGAAGGAATACTCATCTTGCTGCTGGAGGCGCTTGCCTTCCACAATAGTGATGATGAACAGGCCCAGGAACACGTACCATAGATCAAAACTGAGTTGCTTCCGCAAATGCGCTCCGATATAGCTGGGCGGTGTCTGGTTCTCATCCGACTCATCATCCTCGGTAGAAGCGTAGATACCCAGACTCTTCTCCTCATATACGTTGGTGCGTCGCAAAGAAATGGCGATGGGAAAGACGGATATATACATCATGATCAAGTAGGACACCTGCACAGCTGGGTGTAAGTCTGATACAGAGATGACAGCTAAGCCGGCGGTTCGAGTACAGGCTGCCTGGAACAGACCGTCCACGATACGGATACCAGTGGGCAGGGATGTGACGGCCGAATCATTCAAGTCCAGAATAATGAAAAATATCAAGTCGATACCGTTCAAGGCCACCAAAATTGCAAAGAGCCACCACGTGGCATTCCTCGGAAAGAGTAGAGTGAAGCATCGACGCGGATGATCCAGCAGAAAGCGGAGTTCCTCCCACAGCGGGGTTTCGGCACGAGTCACTTTGGACAGAACCCAGATGATCAGGCGCAGCATGCAAGGGAATCCCGTATTCCCTATAATAATCAAAAACGTCATAAGCAGGAGCGGGAATATCGCTCTCTGGAATGAAGATAGCGAGTCTGGCGTGAGAGTGAAACCGACATCGTTAAAAGCTGATTGAGCCATGAAGATGGCCCACCAAGGGCGACCCTGTCCGATTTCCTCGACCACTTTGCCCCAATGTGTGGTCATGATCCAGGGCACGAGGCACAGAATGCCCAGAATGTGGAAGAAGGCATAGTAGGAAATTAGGACTACTGCCAGAGTCTTCAATGCCCGATACTCAATCCCGCCGAGCTCGTCACGTTGTTCCTCGGTCAGATCGACAAAGTTGGAGTTCCGACCGACCGTGGCGTTCCAGCTGAGATACGGCTGTGTTGACCGTTCACGTTCCTGCGTAAGGGTGCGGAAAAGATTGTGTAGAGTTGGTCGCCGCGACGTCAAGCGACCCAGTTGCGAGGCATCAGTGTCATTCTTTGTTTCACGGAAAGTGGGACGTGTATCTAATCGGGGGAAAGTAGAGTTCCGCGTCCTTGTCCGGATCATATCCGGCTCGTTAATCGTAATATGGGGGCCATCGAGTCTGCGCGGCCTATCCTCGTCTTTGTCATCGTCCTCGTCGTCCTCGTCCTTGTCATTCTCATCCTCTTTGCTGATATCGCATGGGCTGCGCTCGGAACTCGAAGAATTGCTAGATGTGCGAACGGGTCGATTTAACTCCTCCTCCTCTTCTTCCTCCAATACTTGTGGTGCGCCACCGTTGTCATACTCCCGAGGGCTAGGGATTCGCAGAGCGCCTTTGTTTCTCCGTTGATTCTCCAGGAATGCAATATGATGTTCTGGGCTCAGCTGAGCCGGAACACGAAGGTTTCCTAGACTGTTCCCTAGTCCTATCCCTAACTTTTGGTTAAGGGCATTGCTCGCATCTTCGCCCAAATTTTCGGGTGGATCCCGCGCGGTGGGAGAGGCGGGGGGTGAGTCCTCGCCAGATTTCTCCTTGGCCTGCTGCCGGCTTCCCGGATGACCTAGTGTGTCGCGCAGGACGACGATAGACCGACCGGCGACACCAGCCTCTTCCCGGGAAGAGGATTGTCCATCCTTATCTTCGCTTATGGTACGGAGGCGAGAGCGAGTATGGCGAAGGGCGCGCGCATCGCTGACGACATGCTGAAATCGCTTTTCAAACCAGTAAAGACGCACGAAGACCAGCACAGTGTGGATGAAGATGGGAGTAGTCAGCATGGAGACCACGTACAAAACGATCTGCTGGTAGGTATGCAAGGTATTGAGGTCGACGGTGTTGAGACCGCTCTGGGTGGCGGCGCCGGCAGATAGGAAGAGGGCATCGGTGTAGTCTAGATTAGCCCCTGGATAGATGATGATTGAAGAAAGCAAAGAGGTGGCGATAATGTAGACATAGTGGATGAGCACAAAATTCATGCGCAGGTTCTTTAGCCATGGAATGTGGGAGGTGAAGCGTGAAGTGACCGAGGTCGCCCGCCGCAGCACGGCGGAAAACATCCTGCGGTTTCACCCGCACCGACTGGGACACTGGGATTTGCAGGGAGAAAAACTGTATCGGTAGGAGAAGAACGGATGGGAGGTTCGAAGAACGAAGGGGCTGCCGAATCAAGACGGCTGCTTGCCGATCAATATGTACGAGGTGGGAGGAAAAGAAGACGCAGACCAGGCCAAAGTCGCTGCAGGTCAGAGACCCACAATCGCAACAGCACTTTGAGCTGAGGAATCGAGGATCAACATGATTCGAGGAGGGTTATATTGGGAGGGTAGTAGAGAGGACGAAGGCCGGGCGCAGATAAGGGGATAGAAAGGTCGTGAGAAGAAAAGAGAGGACGGGAAGCCCCGAGTTGCAAGGAAGACAAGACAGGCGAAAACCGCAGCGGGGGATAACAACTCGGTGGATGAGATGGTCTGATAAAGTGACCAGCCTTAAACCTGAGACTGCTAACCTCCACTATGCCGGTGAGCACCCACTTGGATTGTGGTGGGCGCTGCAAAATTCGATCGCTAGCTTGACAATCGAGAAAGGAGGCCGGATTGGCACAGCAGAGGGGGCAAAAAAGAATATCAGACAGAAGAAACGGAGGGTGAAGAGGCGCTACGCCGATCGGTCAAGCGCGGAATTTAAAGACATGCTGTCCACGGACAATTTCATTGGAGCCTAATTAGCATCTCTGGACTCTATCTCGCAGGTTTTAACGTTGGACTAGTCCCGAGTAGCACGTCTTGTCTTGACTTGGACGGGGAAGGAAACGCGGCAGTCCTGTCAGCTGTCACGTGACACTATGCAGGCTTTTTGCAGCCATCGACCGATCGATCGATCTATACTCGGTACAGCAAATGAAATTTAAATAGCATCCCTTCGTGTTATCTACACAAACTGACTTAACACACGCATGTCTGTAATCCTGAAACCCACCGTACGTTGACGGCAGGGAACGTAGGCTCCATCACTTTCCATGACATCTTCGGTGCCTTTGGCAACTAGTAGTATCTACTTTAAGACCTCCGAAAACGGCGCGTGCCGCTGGCTACAATTATACGCCAATCAACCCGGCGTATCACGGAACCCTGGCCCAATACAGGTATCCTGCAAAGATCTCTGCTGTTTTCGATCCAGTACATCTTTCTACAATGTGGACATTATGATTCGATGGGGGAATCCGTCAAATGATGCAGAGAACATCGGGTATGTCGGTATTGTTTGAGGGGCCAGATTAAAATGTTGCTTGGTCCGAATGTTGCTCGCTGGCATTTCTGCTGGTGTCCCTGTCGGCATGCTTGCTGGTGTGATGGTAGGTTAAGGAGTCGCAACTTGCGATCCGGCTCGTCTCTTAGAGCGGTGGAAGCGTTTTCAAAGAGTCCTTTTATTATTGACTTCCCACAGAAAGGCTTGTCTCCACAATCACCGCCGTTGTCTTTTGTGGCTTCCAGTGTCCTTGTGTCCCGAAGACTGCTTCTTGCCAGACGGTTGTACCGAACGAAGACTACCGGTATCATTATCAGAACCTGATTTCCCTGGGTTCGACTCGGAATTTGAGTCTTCTGACCCGGAGATGGAAATGTCCGGATCGGACCTATCGCTGTCTTCCAAGGAATGAACTGAATGATTGACGTTCTTGGGTGCAGATTTCAGCGACTTCGAAGACGAAGATGAATTGTCATCAAACTTGGACGTTGATTGATCCATACTGGAAGTATTGTCAGTCTCGGTCTCCTCTTCGCCTGACTCGTCATCCGACTCCACGTATTCAGAACTTTTAAAGTGCTTGTTTGATTGGCTCTGAGAAGACGTAATCGACCTCGATTTACCTCGGCGCTTTGGTGGTTTTGCCTCCACAACGGGGTCGTAGAAAGCATCCGGGTTTCCCATGCTACGCCGAGTCAAGACCTTGCGCCTGATCTTGCGAAATTTGTCTCCACACTGCTGCCTGGAACGGCAGTTGTCCATGCTGTTGCTGATGTTTCCCCAAGAGATTTTGGATTCATCTATCTCATAGATATCCCGGCCAACATCATGGCCTAACTTCTTCATGTGGGTCCACCAGGCCTGTAGATGCTCTAGTAGTGCAGATACTTCCCATTCAGACCAAGGCCCTCGATTCATCGTCTGGCGATGTTCGAGGTGATTCCTCCATCGCTGTATCACGTCGTCATCGCTTCTACCAATCATCTTGGCGATGTGAGCCCACTTGGGCCCGTGGCGTTCATGAAGTAAGATGAGTTCGTCATCTTGTTCGGCAGTCCAATAATGTGGCTTCTGAGTTGTACATTGAAAGTGTCGTCTCATGAACCGATAAACCGATCTCTTGTTGCGACCCGGAATAATCTCATAGACCTTTTTCCAGAAAGCCGGTTTTGTGGTGATTTCCGTAGGACAAGGGAAGGGGTTTGACTTGTCCCTTTCTGAATGCTGCACCATAAGGTCGAACGTATCGCTCGACATGCCGTGGGTGGTGCAGAAATCTAGTTTGAATGATTCCAATCCCTTTACTTCCTCCGGTGTAAAGAAACCAGATCTGTCTCCTTTCCCTTTGTTGGCATCCAGACCGCGCTTTCCCTTTTTGAAGTCCACCAAGCCTTTATATTTCTCGATAGATTGTTTTGACGCTGTGGTCAAGTTTGCTTCTAATTCCTCCTGGGCAGACCCTCCCTCTTTGTCCTTATTTTCTGGTTCTAGAGCGAGTGAAGCTGAAGATGCGTTCTCCAGGAGTACATTGTCGAGGTTTTCCTTGGCCACATCTGTTTTGCGACTCTGTATCTGGCTTTCCATGGACTCGCGGACCTTCTTGCGCTTTGGTGGATGATCCATTGGTGTACTGTGCTGCGATGGTTGAGACAATGTCAGTGCAGCATTGTTGGTGGCATTATCCAAAGCTCTCCTCTTCCGTCTGGATTTTGACCCATTTGCCTGTAGCTCCTGCTTGACTCCTTTTATGGGTGTTGAAGGGGTCGAAGGTATTTCCAATCCCGTTTGACTGTCCTCGAAATCCTCGGGGGCGTTGTTCCGCTTTTGGGAAGCATATTGAGGCGACGAGTTGCTCATTTCGAAGGAACAGAGTGAAGAAAGAGAATTCCAGTTTCCCAGTGGAAATTGAAACCTCAAAAAGAACTGTGGACGCAGAAAAATTATTTGAGGTGAGTGAAGGGTGAGTAATCTGTCAGACAAAAAAAATCTAGGGAAAAGTCGCCGAGAAAGCTTTGGAGCGGCGCGAGCGGCGCGGCGCGACTTTTGGCGGTGCCGTTCAAGCTTTCTTTAGCGGAGAGATGTTCCATGCATTTCCTGGTTAGGGCGGTCAGGGTTGATATCTCTGAGCTCTTGTTAGGTGTCGCATCGTCTGCCTTGCTTCTGAAGCTGTGCAGCCGGCACTGTCTCCTAAGGGGAGGAAACCACCGAGGAGTCTCTTGCTAAGTGAAAGCTGTGGTCAGTTGAGAAACCCTACTGACACGCAGTCGAACCTCGGTCTGCTCAACTTTCTTTTTGCTTTTTTAGGATTTTCCCTGTCAAGGGCGGTCAGTAAGGCGGGTGCCAAAGACAGGCAGAAAGAGTGCCGGGGATGAGGCACCCACGAGGCCGTTTAGTTATCTAGATTGTAAGTAGCAGGGCACCCATTGGATTTCGGAATCAGCAGCGACACCGTTAAGTAAACAACCCAGAGGCTAACACAACTTGGATAGAAAGGAGTTTACTTCTTTCAAACTCTCTGCCGGGCTATCTTGCAAGCCATCAATATGGTGCGATCCGACCATATCCTGAAGTCTGTCTCACCCCTTCTCAGGCCACTTAGCGAGTAGCAGTGATGTGGAAGACTAGATCTTTATATCCCGGACTAGGCGGGGTATGGCAACTCAAATATGCTGCTTTGTTGCCCAAGAAAAAAAAAAAAAAAAAAAAAAAAAAAAAAAAAAAAAAAAAAAAAAAAAAAAAAAAAAAAAAAAAAGAGAGAGCTGCTCAGGCTCGTTTCTATCCGCTCTCTTGCGCCTTACTGCAGCGTCAATAATACAAAAGTCAGTCACCGGAAGCAAATTGCTATAATAATATAAGATGATCCAAGCAGGAAATGTCACGCAGAGGGAATGAAGCAGCAAAGTCAGTCATGCACAGCAAAATGGGTAACAGTCAACAATCATTGAAGATAATAACAACAAAGAATCTGAAGAAAGGAAGAATAGACAGGTAACATTCGATATATTACATAATCAAATTTGATAAGTAACTAGTTAACACACACAGACAGACTAACTAACCGCCGAGTTCGACCAATCAGTCATCCACAACAGCTAAGCACAGCGTGGGAATGTACATATGTTGGAGTAAGTTGAAATGAATTATTGGGTGCTAGGTTACTCTGTAGGTTGGTTAATTTATAGATTGCTGGTTGTATTTAGATTAGTAGAAAATCACTAGATGATAAACCACTCGTACCGTTATCCAGTATGGTTGCGGCAGTGATAACGTTTGATGAATGCGACTGTCATCTGCATCGCATCTTCATTCAAAGTATCAATTGTAATACAGCCATTTGGGTCGTGATCTTCAAAAGGGTTTGAGCTGATGTCGGGTGCACAGCCTTTCTTGCCCTTCTCCATTCTCACCCTTCGCAGTATCCCCGAAAAGCCAGACCTGTTCACCAGGCATTCAGGTACCCTTCTACTGGGAAAACATGTTGATGATTAATTACATCCCTATGTAACCGGTAACTAAGGCGTCTAAAGCATATTATTTGATGACTAGACCCTAATAATTTATGGGCAACACACTCTCGTGGCCACGTACAGCAATCCAGAACGTCGCAAAGTAAGAGCCCCAGTTTCTACTAAAACCTTGTTCGTGTGGGGGTAGACAGGAACGACTCATAAAGTTGCATTATTGCGTATCCTGTCGAAGGTGCAGCGAGCTGCGGATTGTGGGGCGCAACTGGGCCAGAAGATAATACAGCTGGCATATGTTGCCAAGAGGACGGTTCGCAGCAAGTTTCAGAAAAGGTGGGTCAATCAGTGCAAGGCTAGCCATACAGCTGTGGGGACCGGGGACAGACCATATTTGATTGAATCTCGCGCTACTGGAGTGCTTCCGCTTCCTGCGGCTACGGAGGCAGATGTTAGATAAGGATTTCCAGATGTAGATTCGATCGGGAGGTTAAATCGGACCCGGACTTTAACCTAGGCCAGAAACACCTAGACCCATGGGCTATTGAGGCAGACAGTGAAGACACTGCGTAGAAGCCCCAAGTACGCCCCGTCCGGTTTACCGCGGAAGACTAAGCCTACCAGGGAGAACTTGCGGTTAGGAAGCAGGAAGTAACTAGTGGCAAAGACAGAGGATAGCATTTTGCAGGCAACTGGTGGGCCACCTGCGACACTCGTTTGATTCTACACCTAGTTTCTCCGTGTTCAGCTGAGGCATTGACGGTTTGTAGATACACGGCATGGCATTACTTAAATGTGTCGGATACTTTGCGTGATATCATGGGGTACGGCGTTCTGAGCCATACTCTTGCATCAGTGCGTTTAGACAGCGAAGCACCTGAAAAGCTAGCATCTTGTATACCGAGCTCGATCAGGTCAAAATATACAAATTGAATGGCATTAAAGATTGCGCAGCCACGGGCTTCAATATTTCCTTCTTGGTAGCTGCACAAACGATGCCGGCGGCCAGATTTCAAACGTCATGCGAAGTGCGACGCGACGCAAGGTCGACTATGGGGAGGAGTGCCTCAGTCTTCAGAATGGTATGAACCTCCCGCCGTCGAGCGGGCATACAAGAGTGCCTTGTGAGAGTTCTCATATTGTCGGTGTTGATGTAGTGTTTTGTTCCAGTGTTGCTTGCCATCATGACAGCTCGCTGGTGGACTTATAAGGAGGCTGGAGCCCACAATTCAGCCCGTCTCTTCGAGCCGGTTCGGAAGGCAGGGGTGGTGAGTCCCATCGTTTTGCTTTGAGCAAGTGCCAAAGCGGGCAATGAATCAATCGAACGATATCAATATCCCTGGTAGTTGTCGCATGCCGCGTAGTATCTATGGGACGAGAATATTAATCGAGTATCGCTCAAAATTTGCCTTATTGAGGCGTACTGTGGAAGCGAGACTGGTGGGTGTATATATTGACTAGAATATCGCTTGCTGACTGCGGAGTTGACTCAACCAGTTGTGTCGTATTAGCCTTGAGAGCTATGTGTTAAGGAGCTGCCAGCACCTGCAATTCGGTTCGTCACCAGCGGAGGCAATGATGTTGAGAGTCAAATCCTGACAGCCCATGTCACCATTCCAGGTTAACCCATCAACCCACCCAAGACCACGCGACCAACGCTATTGAGTTCACTCTTAGCCTGGTGACGGCTAGCATCCTCAAATTCGCGTATAATCCCCGCCACCATAATCTTCCTTATCTTGGCATCCGCCTTGGAAAACATTTCTCCCAATGCGACAGTACATACTGAAGGTGTGAAGACCAGTGACACCAACCGTGTGTAACAGTCAATGAGAATATCACACAGAGTAACGAATGTTTCGAAATAGTCCGGTTCAAAGGGTAATAATGGCGTCAGAAGATATGTGTACTCCTCACCCGGGAGGAGCTCTGAGGCCTCCGTATGCGGAAACGAGACGGTCGCAGCCGCCGCGCTGGAGTTACTCGCCATTGATTTCAAGTCCGTCGGGTCACTGGATTGCATCGGTAGGCCAATTTCTGTGGCCGAGCTGGTGCGGCGCGCTTTCGTGCCGGCGTGGGCGGCACGCTTGAACATCTGAGGGATACGGGCGCGAGTGAGGGTGGAGGAGGAGGTGCCGTCGGGAGGATGCACTTGCTGAAAAGCCTCAAATTCAATTAAGAGAGTGTTGAGTGCGCGAAGAAACTCCACGGGTGTTGTGCTGACATCGAGAATCGGGGGCAGGGAGAGGCCCAAGAGAAGGTAATTGATGGCGCGACGGGCAAGTTTACGAGGCTCGAAGTATGGCAATCGATTGATATCGGTCCGGGAAAAGTGGACTGTGTTGAACCAGTAGATGCGACCTTCGTGCGCTTTGCGCAAATAGCCCAGTGTAGAGATCCGCTTAGCGGCCATATCGTGGATATGCTGATAGATTGCTGCTGCGCTTTGAGGCCCAAGTGATCCGCTACCACTCGTTAACGGGGGTGGTATGGACCCCACCGATGGGTCATGACTGATGCTGGATTTGGTGTCCCGGCGCGATAGGCTGGGGGCAAAAGTCGAGGAAATCATATTGGACATGGTTATGTAGTCGGAGGGGGTTGCCTACCCCTGGCATAAACGTGGATTCCGTATTCCGGGGGATCGATGATAGTATACGGTTAAAGGGGCTGGCTCGAGGAAGCGTGCTAGTAAGAAGATCCGTGGGACCGGGAAGGACATGGAGTCTCAGTGCCACGTGACCGTGATCTCTGCCCCGAAAAAGAGTACAGCTGCGCCTGTGGGGACTTTGTCCGTCTGAGTTGAGGGGAAGTTATAGTTATCAATCCTACGAATACGTTATGATACTGAATAATATGTCCTCATGAAAGAGAAGAGGAAAGGACTCGGTGCCCAAGGGATACCGTCATGGCATCCTAGTACTTGAGATCCTAACGAGCGCGTCCCTTATCAGCTACAAGCTGTGCAGATAACAGAGACGAAGCTGTCTTGTCTATTTAGTTCATAGCATGTATTGTAGATTATCGAATAATGATATTGTAGTCCTTCATGCAATGCTGGTACTAGCACTCGGTGTGCATACCTAACAGATCTGATTAGAAAAGAGCCTTGTGCAAAATCAAGGTTCTCTGAGGCTATGGCAGACGTGAATAAGATTAGATTGACCATAAAGTGGGATCATATATTAAAACTAACGACCTTTTGTCACCCATCCAGCATGTTAGCTCAGGGGAAGAGCGCCGGGCTCATAACCCGGAGGTCCCTGGATCGAAACCAGGACATGCTATCTTTACTTTTTTTTTCATTTTCACAGCCACATCTAATCTCATTCGATCTATTTCCGCCTCGCAGATTTCTAGCACAGGCTGCTCTACGCTATTGGTTAGCTGGGAGTCATTCTTGCTACAATTAAGGATAACCTGAGTGGCAAGATTTCAGTTGCGGAGGTTGCTCTGGATAACATGGGGGGGGCGGTCGATGAGGGGTGCGAAGAAGTGATGATGCGTTTCAGCCAAGAAACGATTTTATCTTTGAGATGGTACTAGATATAGACAACTTGAGTATGAACGGTATATATGCACCAGCAACATAGATTTAGCTTATATACCCTTGTGCTTAGACGGACCATTTCAATGGAATAGATGATTCACCATCTATATCTCCAAATGGACTAGCGTAGGGGTCTAAGTGACTATACCTGAATTGGTTAGTCGCTGGTAATAACCCCGGCTGGCCACTGACATGTGACCGACCGCCTTCCCAAAGGATAGGCTCCGACTGAATGAATGAATAGGAAGGATATCCTCCGGTACTCGACCGTCTTCTTTCCCCTCCATACGAATTATTGGCCCCTTGAGATGACCTAGTATCAGGTCTTCTCTGTGGTGAGCCCCCCTAATACTTTCTTGTGGCTCTGTGTTTCAATATGCTTTTGCGCTCGGCCACTTCTTATCTGATTAGAACTGGCCAGGGGTATCAACTATTCCTAACATGACACGCCGACTTGTATGTCCCTTTTCGTCTAACCATGGGAATCTCCCATCAGGAGATTTAGAACTAATAGGAGATCTGTACAGGTTCGAGCGGGCGTGCAGCTCGCTATCTTCGCATCTTTCATCGCTCTCCTCGTCGTGACCTTGGACAACAGGTTCCGTGTCCTTCCTGCCTCCATCCACGGCCATCTTCCATCCCACTATGCTGGCTACGCCATTACCGATGTCACTGTTGTGACTTGTTCTTCCATCAACGTCTTTTCGAACTGTCAACCAAGCCAGGAGTCCTGGTCACAGATCGAGAAAGACCTTTACCTTCGCACCGGTTGGACCTCGAGCGCATTTGTTCGATTTGAGCGAAAGAAAGAGGAGGAACTGCTTCCTACAGACAAGGTTGTTATTGACCTTAAGATCAGCCGACTTGTTCCCGAGTATTCGGAGGATCCTGAGGCACAAGGAGAGACATGGGAGCAGAGACCCGGTGGTATCTGGCTGAAGCGAACCGCTAAGCGCCACGCAAGTGATTCGGGGAAAGCAATCACCGCTATCGATGTTCTCTTCGGTGCCGATGCAGTCGATCCGCGAATTGGCTGGGAAGTTAGGGATACTCCACTGCTACTGGATAGCAGGACGGAAGAACTGGAAACTCGAATCAGCGTTCGTCGGGGAGATCCCCCCAAAACGAAGAAGCCAGTGCCCAGGATAAACGAAAATGGGCGCTTCAAGATCATGCAGCTGGCTGACTTGCATCTGAGCACCGGCTTAGGGGCTTGCCGTGACCCCGTCCCGGCTGAACCCGTCCCAGGACAGAAGTGTGAAGCCGATCCTCGGACGCTAGAATTCGTGGAAAGGCTCCTAGACGAAGAGCAGCCTGATTTTGTTGTATTAAGCGGCGACCAGGTCAATGGTGAGACTTCTAGAGATGCTCAGAGTGCTCTTTTCAAGTCTGTTAAACTGCTTGTTGATCGCAAAATACCCTACGCGGCCATTTTCGGCAACCATGATGACGAAGGTAACCTGAAGCGGCCGGAACTCATGACTATTTTGGAGGATCTGCCGTACTCTTTATCAACTGCCGGCCCCGAGGAGATCGACGGAGTCGGAAATTATTATGTTGAGATTCTTGGCCGCGGAAGCACCACCCACTCCGCGCTAACCCTCTACCTTCTGGACTCTCACTCGTACTCTCCTGATGAACGGCAGTTCCGCGGGTATGACTGGATCAAGCCGAGTCAAATTCGGTGGTTCAAGAACACTGCCCAGGGGTTGAAGACGAAGCACCATGAATACACCCACATGCACATGAACATGGCATTCATTCACATTCCGTTGCCAGAATATCGTGATCCCAACAACTATTACCGAGGTAACTGGACCGAAATTCCAACAGCGCCAGGCTTTAACTCGGGCTTTAAGGATGCCCTTGAAGAAGAGGGTATCCTGTTTGTGAGCTGTGGACAGTAAGCATGCCTTTTCCGCCCATCCATGACCCTTTGCTAACCCGCTCTAGTGATCATGTCAATGACTATTGCATGCTCAATCGGGATAACGAGGAAAAGCCTTCCCTTTGGATGTGCTATGGAGGAGGCGCTGGTTTCGGCGGGTACGGAGGATACGGGGGTTATGTGCGCCGCGTGCGCTTCTATGACTTTGACATGAACCCTGGCCGTGTGGTGACATACAAGCGGCTGGAGTATGGCGAGACGGAAGCAAAAATTGACGAGATGATGATTATCGACGGTGGCATTGTCAAAGGGCCTGAACAAGAAGAGTGAATCGGAGATTGATGCCTTTCTTAAGCGCTGATTGGTATTTTTCTCTCCTTTCTTTTCGAGCTGGGTCTCGCGAGACGTATATGGCCCTGCTTTTCGGACGACATCATCTATTCGAGGCTTTTACATCTATCACTGGGGAGGCGTTCCTATTTGAGACTTAACCGGCGGGCATTCCTCTTCTTTTCTTTGTATCATATTACTATTCGATTCCGACATTTGCAGGATGCGTGGGCTGCGATAGCAGGCAATTTCTCAACAAAACTGATGGTTTTTTTTGTTTCTTCTCTTCTTTCAAACCTACTCTATTACCACCACTTTTCATAATACACGCGCTCCTTATCCCCAAGAAAGCCCTCAAGGTTGCCGACCACATCATCAGTCATCCCAGGCGGACCACACACATAACACACAGTCTCTGCCGCCTCAATACTACCATCAGGATTACTGATCGCCTTGCGTAAATCATCCCGATTAATCCTCCTCATATGCAGGGTCAGATCATCAGATTCCGCAGAACCAGTAAGAGAACTTTGATCCAAACCAGGATCGGTGATGAAAAGGTCTAAACTAATCTGCAATCGACAAATTTGTGACTGCGACGCAATGATCTGTCGTAGACGTGAAAGGAACAATATTTGCTCCAGACTATTACTGCCACCACCACCACTCCCGGTTACTGTTCCTTCTTCTTTCCGTGGGAGTTTCGTTGAGTACAGAAATCGAATATTGAATGACGGGTGAGGGAGAGCTATCTCGTCGCCATTGTTCAGATGCGATAGCATGGACATTAGTGGGCTGTGGTTGTGTTAGTAGTTAGCTACGAATTCTCTTTCCTGTTTATGAATCGACATCACACTCACTTGATCCCTACCCCGCCTGCCACGAAAACTACATTCCGAACTTTCGTTAAGTCCACGTTTGAAGACGGAGGCCATACAAAACTCCCTCCGACGCGGATACTAAGTTCCGTGCCAAGGATCTCATCCGCCGGTCGCCAGAGCCATGCGCTGGCTGGGTTGGAGGGCGCATATTGCACAGCTAACTCTACGTAGGGTGGCCGACCGCGCGGGTCGATGGGTGGAACGTCGGTTTCGTCGGTTGTGATTGCCTCCGCGGGAGATTCTAGGGATGGGAGGACTTGTGCGTCGGCTGGAGTGGAGGTAATGCTGAAGCCGCCTGCATTGGGGATAGAAGGGATATGAACGTCGAGCCATTGACCCGGAAGGAATGTTAGAGGTTGTTGGGGATTGGCTAACTGTTGGGTGTTAGCACGATGTGGTTGGTCGGGGAGCGGATATGTTGCTGTTAATATGAAAATTATAGGTATGTGGTTGGAATTATTATATAGAAAAAACAAAAAGGAAAGAAATATCATACTTCTTCCACTTCCTGACCTTCATCTTCGGCATTCTGGACCTCCGGGGGTATGGTCAGCTGTAGTAGCCGCACGAAAGGATTGGCCTGTTCGACATGCGACAGCCGGACATTGTACAGTCGGTTCTGGCGGGGTTCGGCAGCGGTACGCAATTGATGGGGCAGTGAGCCCTTCCGGTTTGTCGGGGAGCTCATGTGGTGTGCTTGGTGATAGCAGCACAATTGGTTCGCAGTCGAGAGCCGGCGCTTAGAGAAGAGAGCTGATGGGGGATGGCGAGGTCGGACTGGGAGCAGTTGATGGCACTGCAATAGTAGGAGTCTCCGCATCCGGAGGTCCAATGATTGTCGAGGACCGTTGTTTCTTGGAGAAGATAGATAGTACTAGTCGTCTAGTACTCTGTAGTAGCTTGAGGATTCACAGGGCCAGCTGGCGGGAGGAGCCTTTAGTGTCTTTACATGGAGTAGCAGGTATTTATTGCATTGGGATTGACTGTGTTGTGGTCAACAACAGCGTGTTGCTTCTTTGGTAGAAGAAGTACGAAGTACTTAGTCGAGGGTAGATGGATGACGTTGGGAGATGTCATGTGCCTACTTCAGTTGTTTGCAGCGAACTCTTTTTCTCTTCCATTTAGGTTTGGATGCATTCCCATCTTTGTGCGTCAATATCCACATTGTACTCACTCAGCAATATACTCAACAAGACAGACAGGGAACTGATGTGATGTTCCTAATGACTGCCAACCCCTCCCCAAGTTTCCTTATGCACGCGCAGTCACAACTACTAAGTAGATACTAAACAGCATCGCACGCGGTCTGCTTGCTCCACCTGGGCGCTTCACACTCTGATTGGGCAGTCCGGGCATCCTTTTCGATGGATGGTAATGGTCACATGATGCGACACCACCTCATTCATCGTCTCCCTGTCTCCATGCTTCTTTCCTCTGGCACGTAGGTATTGAGCCATCTGATGGTTAGCAATTATAGCTGGTACTCTCATGGTTGCACCCACCAACCGGCGGGCAGATCCTCCTCCTAGTTCCGTTGCGTGAAGGGTTGCTGGGAGCATGCAGATCGCCTTCCCCATCACACGCCTAGCGTGTGACGGCCGTCAGCCAAACGGCTACTTCTGCCGCCTCATTGGCGATGCACCCCGGCCTGGCGCCGATGCTGGCGCTTCCTAGACGGCAAGCATTGGCCAGATGCAATCCGTTGGAAACATCAACTGCATTTCCCGCTTTCCTGGCTTGCCATTGCATTGCTGTGATATTGCCCCCTCTCTCCGTCTGGGCCATGCACCACAAGAGGATGGACGCTGGCGCTTCCGGGGTGCCAGACTTCTTATCCTCGCCATCGCCCCAGCTGATCACCCGGAGCTCCTCTCTGGTAGCCATTTTTGTTTCTCTGCTCTCATCTGTGTTTTATGGTTTGGTGTTCGATGCCAGTGAGCTGAACGTACAGCTAACCGGCCTGGCCATCAGTCGCGAGTGAAACACGAGCCCAAGCACTCCATTGAAAAGAGTTCTAGTTACTATCTTGATACTGTCCATTGCGATTCATTCCCCTAGCTGGCTTTGACAACATCCGAGTCCCTCAACACAAACAGCCATGATGCGCATGCGCATGCCGCCACTTCGTGATTTCTTCCCGACGAAATGGCGTAACCACAACTTGATGTATATATTCATGATCATTGAACTGCCTCTTACAATCATCATCCTTACGCTCACTGGTATCGCTTCTCACGACCTCTACCGGACGAAGCTCTGGCAAGATGGCGCAGACAATGGGTTCAATAGTTCACCAAATGATAGACTCTACGCCGCAGCCAACCATCGGCCCTTCAAGACCCCCATTGTCTGGAGTTCATTGTATGTGGAAGCCTTCTGGTTCAGAACCCATGGCTAACACTGAAACAGCATCACGGAGTACAACCTTGTCCTGGGCATCCTGAGTGTCTTCGTGTGGATTACAAAGATTCCGGTCCACATCCTCCACATGCTTACTCCGCCCTTGTCGGCCTTTGTCCATGCCGGCTTGATCGCCGTGTACATCTATTCCGTTCGCTACCAGGCTGGTCCCGATATGTCCGATCCCGAGCACCCTCAACCGGGTGCACCATGGTACATCTCGAAGAAATGCTCAGTGGCTGCTGTCAAAACAGACGTTCATTACTGTATGCAAGCCAAGGCACTATTTGCATTTTCCATAATTCTCATGTGAGGATACTCCTGTCCTCTAATACCCTTTCTCTGGAACAGTCAGCTAATCCGCCTTACAGCCTGTACTACGTTGCCGTGCTCGGCGTCAGCTTGCAGAATTGCGTCATGACGAAAGAAGAGCGCCAAGAACGGGAAGAGCTACGCGAGGAGCGAAGAACCATGAAGGAATTCGAAGACTACGTGCTGAAGTCGCCTGGCATTCCTATGACCGTGCCGAGGCAAACCGGGCCAATGCCGACGGGCATGCCTGGCAAGGCATCGTTCCATAAAACTATCACTCGAAGCACTGATGTATCGTCGGCGGATCTCCCACTTCGTCAGCACTTCAGTTCACCAAACCCTCGCCGCTCAATGCACCAAGAGTCGGCGGAGACCCTTTCCGGACACCAAGCTCAGTCCCAAACATCCTTTGTGCAGACCAACAAGGCGAATGAGAGCTAACTGGCGTTGCAGTCTACCTAAGACTGGAGAGGTGCCTTGAGATCATTGCTAGTGCCTGTCAAGGGATCAACGTGCTCCATAGTTTCGGTTCCCGCTCGTTGTTGCTACGTTAAGACCGATATACTAGCTTACAATGACATGTAATGCCAAACAGTCGAATTCACACTTACTTTTACCCTCATATCTGGATGTCCTCTACTATTCCTACATCTACACCCTCAAGTTTTGATTTCTATACCATCTTGCACTGATATCATGTGGAGTTCGTCGGTTATATTTTCAAGTGTGATTGCAGGTCAGTCATCGGGATCATATCATGTTGTTTGTTCGCCTCCTGTCTCTACTTCGTCTAGTGTTATCGCGCTTCCCTTCCCCCACCTTCTCTTATTCACCCCCATTACGCTAAAATCCTTTGAGGTCAGCACCAATATATGTTGTTGTTGAATGACTGTTTCATATTAAGGTCTTTAGATTATATAGTAGAAGCCTATATTCTCGGGCTTTCATGCAAGCCTTAAAGCTCAAAGTTGGCTCTTGAGGCGCTCGTAAACTCCTCTCCGTTTGAGCGCGCGGTGTCTTTGAATAGCTAACTTCCCTGATATGCCCATGCTTTTAAATCGAGTCCAATTGGTATGCGCTTTGCCAGTGGACTTGGCTCCATACTTGCGATATATTCCCAGTTCATCGAATCCAATAGACGGCTAAGTGATTTGCTCCTACTGTCTCGAAACAATCTTCTATGCGGGAACCACGACCAACATCAACATGGTCTGTGTTAGGATACGTGCTACTTTTCCAGTATGAGGTTAGAAACTAACATCATGCTGAGTGTGTATCAGGTGCCTAGGACAAGGCTAAACATTCTATAGTCTTTACCAAGTGCTTCGCCAGATTGGTCGGCGCGTAAATGAGTGATAACCACTATATCGGCCGAAAGTGTGAATTCAATTGAGCTAATGAAAGGAAGGATGAACGCAATGATCGGCAGGTAAGTAAGAGTGCCGATTTCCTCCCACCAGCAGCAAATAATACTAAGTAGCTGCCAGCCTTTACTATTTGTAGTAAATTGCATTGTGTTGATAATATATAGTGTCCTATTGCGGCAAGTTCATTGAGCAGAAAAGAGATGCCACGGTTTTTGCAGCATAGACGACCATATTAGGAGTAGAACATATTGGGGAAGACATCTTGAGGAGATGATAATTGAGTTCATTCCATGTGGAATAAGTTACAAGAGGATGAATTGTGTTTATTTCATAATGAACTAGTTTGTTAACACCAGTTATTTAAATACTAAAAATCACATGACTGAGCATAAGAGAAGGACGAGCGTGCTCTACAGCACGTGACCGCGACCGGACCATCCTGCTGCTAGCATATCGAGACTGGTCGAGATTCCACCCAAGTGGCCTCTCTCACTCTCTCACTTGTGGCTCACTGGCGTCCTCAACATGTCCCTTAGCCGGACATCCTCTGCCTTGCGGCAATGTCGCCTACGATGGCACCCGGAAGCCATCTCCCTGACGCGCACTTTCACTCCCCTGAGCCATTCTACCCGCCATCGCCGGCTCTCGCGCAGTGAAACCAAATCTTTCCATACGACCCCCTCTAATGCTGCGCTACGATCTCCTACCGCTCGGAAGGCCCAATCCATCCGGAGGCAAGCCGTCTTCACAATTGACGGAGTATTCGCGCACGCTGTCCAAGGTGATGTCGAGGGAATGCTCCAAAGGCTGGAAAAGACCGTGGAGGAACACTATTATCGGTGGAAGGAAACCCACAGCTACGAGGGAAGTTACGGCAGCACGAAGCTGAGTCTCGAGAAATATAAACAAATCGCACAATCCCTGCTACGAACCGCTTATTCCCAGCCTCCATCATCACAAGCGATTCGCGCGATTTCCACGAATGTCGAGGTTATCTGGAACGTTTCGAGATGCCTACTCAGTCCGGATAACCGTGCCCTGGAAGTTTGGCTCCACAGTGCCTGTGCCCTCGCAGGCGCAAGATCCCCTACCCTCATGCTCGCTCATAGGAACCTCGATGACGCGCACCCGAACTACCCTCTACGCACCCAATTCCTGGATAAAGTTGAACAATGGGCGTTGCAAGATCGTGATCCTCGCGCCATGCATGTTTATGTGAGGACTCTAATTGCCCGAGGGGAGCATGAAAGCGCGGTGCCACTTATGGACGAGCTCATGTCGACCATCTATCCTTCACCACGAGTGGAGGGCCTGGAGACACCTCTTTCATTCTACAACATCCCCGAGGTGTGGCCAACGTACATCCGTCTACAGGAGGAGCTGAAGAAGAAGGGAGTGGATTGGGGCATTGGCAGAGATGAGCTGGCCCGTCTGGCGGGGGTGGACTACCAAGAGCCCAACTTCTTGTCAAATTATGCATCTGTGATGTTTGAGGCGGGTGATTATGAAAAGTATGAGCAGTACATGCATCAGGCTGCAATGGCCGGTATTCCCAGTGCTTGCACCTCTTTGGCCCATTTCTACTACCTGACTGCGAGAGGACTGTTCCCCCGTCGGGGTGAGAAGACATTTGTTCCGCGGTCAGCAGAAAACTCTAGAGAGTTACTCAAAAAGGGCAGACTGGAAACTCTTTACTCCAGCATTGTCCATGGTCTGCCAACCCATGAATACTACAATAATCTTGCCCTGGAGTGGTGGGAGCTGGGACTGAACATGGGCAGCGACTTATCCGCTATGTTCCTCGCTCTCGCCTACCGAGAGGTCGGTCAGCTAGACGTTGCAGAATCTTTTTACAAGCTGATACAATCGCCTCGTTTATTGGCCAGCAAATTCACCGCTGATGATCTCGCCATTAATTGGGACAATCCCGTTGCGTCCTTCTATGTGCCACGGCGAGTACTCAATGTAGAATGGTATGATACCGATGCCAAATGGACCACTGAGAAATAGCCAAAGAGAAAGGGAACCAAAGAAAAGTCACAACACCAAAACTACGCTTGTCTAGCGATGCCGGTAGTCGTACCAAGATGTGATATGTCACACGGAGCGCGACGCAATGCGAGAATGGCAAGGGTGAAAAGGGGCTTCGATTTTTCGGGCTCAGATGGATTCCTCGGTCTCAAAAACAGGTGTGGAAGGATGTCTGGTAAGGCGGTCTCGTGAGGTCAGTGCCGGCGTAAAAGTCCACTCGGGTGTTGCTGGACACGGGTGCTGTTTGTTGTTATGCTTGCTGGCCTGGTCGGTGCTTCTGGCCTTAAGCCTAAAAAGAGGCTTCTGCCCGCGATCCGGCTCGTCTCTTCGAGCGGTTGTGAAGGCAGAAGAAGCAAGTTCGAAGAGGTGAGTCGAATCGACGCTTCACTTTGAGGGAGTTCAAAACCTGCCCAAGTGCTTGCCGGTAGTAGTCGAGGTCACGGGAGGTTCAGTTATGGTGAGGGTTGCTGCAGGTGCAATAACCTGAGTGGTTGTTTCATCTTTGCAGCCGAACCATCCCGGGGTCTTGCAGGTCGTGGTCGAGGTCATGGGAGGTTCAGTTGTGGTGATTGTTGGTACAGATGTAATATCCGATGTGGTTGTTGGATCTTTGCAGCCGAACCAGCCAGGGGTCTTGCAGGTGGAGGTGGAGGTGGAGGTCGACGTTGTCTCGGTAGTCGTGGTTTGGTCTAAGCAGCCCCACCATCCAGGAGTCTTGCAGGTGGATGTCCTGCTAGTCGTAGTGGACGTGGATGTAGAGGTGGCCGAGGTGGTAGTAGTGATTTCAGAACCGTTACTGCGGAAGAATTTCCAGAGTTCACAATCGTAGCATTCCTCTTCAGGCGCACAGGGGGGCACATCGTCGTAACCAGCAAGAACATTGGCAATGACATAGTTTATGCGATGTTTGCTGAGACCAACACGCCAGCCTTTGTCTTCAACAGTGTCATAGACACACATCTGGCCAGTATGGCATGCGGATTCCATGGCATAGCCACCCCAGGTACAAACTGAGCTAACTCCATTGCAAGTTCCCATGTAAACCGGGTCTGCCGTATGTCCGAAATGATACGACCCAGTGTTCCTTCGTGACTGAGGGTAACGTGAGTCATGTCCTGGTGGGCTGGGAAGACCTAAACGAGCTGCTGGGAGTGCTTCCGGAACAGCTTCAAAGGTGACGACTGGTACCCCAAAAGTTAGACCTAGCAAGCTGGACACAGCACCACCTAAAGAATGGCCGGTCAGCCAAACGTTGGCATTTGGGTACATCTCGGTAATGTTAGAGTAAAGGTCGAGTGAGGCGCGATAATATCTGTTCTCATCTAGCATCGCCTCAACGATGCATGTCAGGTTCGCATTGTACAGAGTTGTCTGGCAATCGCAGACTTGCCGCCAGAGGTAAGAACCGCCCTGGCCACAGCAGCAGCTGAAGAATAAATTGTCGTTGATTTTATCATTTGTGGTAGTGCCTTCGCCATCGAACAAGGCCGGTGAGGTTCCCTTGAGGGAAATGACAACAGTGCTATTTGTCTTATCGGCATATACGTGACCACGGAGTCCGTCCCCTTGCCACCCAAAACTTCCGGAGTGGTTGAACCGACCATGAATATCCTGCCAATCGCCAGTCCCAGGTACCTCGATATAGTCATTTGCCGTCATCATTGCTAAAGCAACGACAGTCTTCTTCTCTGTGACATTTGGGCCAGGCAGTGTATCCATAACCCAATCGGACGGCGACAGCGCAACTGCCGAGCCAGAGGATCGCGCAGTCACAAGATGTTCCTCAATGACCGAGAGGCGTCGGTCTGCAAGTCTTTCGATTATGAGGGGTTGTGACGAAGCAACCAGCGGAGTATTCGGTGTGACGACATCGGATTCGATCCCTGCGTCTGAGACGGCCCGAAGACGAGTGTCTGGCGTGATATCAAGCCTGCGGTGGAGATCGGGATCTTGATAAGTTCCTCGGTGGAAAATATGGCGAAGCGTGAATTCGTGGGTGTCTGAGAGGGGAGGCGAGTCGCCCAGTGGGATCTGAGGAGGGAGGAAGGGCGATGATTGTCGGGATCCGAGGTATACGGGCTGATAAGCGGAGATCAGGCCTGGAAGTAGTGTCACCGGCCATAGCAGGTCGGAAAGTCTTGTGTTCCCCCAAAAAGACTTCTTATTATGCCCTCGAAGGCCTTTCATGGCGATACAGTGATGGTCAAAGATGCAGGGATGATGCTGAGAGCTAAGAACGATGGCAACAGGGTCGCTTTAGATAAACGGGTCCATCCTGTAGATAGATAGCAGTAGTCGAGGTGGCCACCGACTGGGCTGGCAAGTGGATACGCGGTCACGTGAATGCTACTAGGACCTCGGCAGTGGCCCGCAAGGTGGAATGCAACAGATGGACAACACAAACAAACACTCCATCTGGAAAGGTATAAACCGCATACAACTTCACATAAACTGTTCCTTCTCCAAAAACATGTTTTTCAATGCCAGGAACCCCTAGGTTACTGGTGGCACCCGCTTTGTACATGACAGGTTGTTGAAGTGTTCAGCTACTGCGGAGAAAAGAGCCTGTGAAGGACTAAACCCGGCTGAGATTATTAGTTACTTAGCGCACCCCAGGAACCCACTGCAGAGTGTGCTGGATTACAATATCCAAGGATCATCCCATACTTATGTTGTTACAGTATTCCATTATGAGGGATGTTTTGACGTCCCACTATAACTAGTCCCCCTAGCTTGCCCACAGAACCGCCCCGACCACGCCATCTTCCACAAGCGTCACATCAATGCTCGTCTCTCTGGCATAACCTCTCATTTTTTGTTTCTCACAACATACCCACCCTTTCCCGATTCGACCACATACTCTTCTATCCTTGAACAAAACCAGAACAAAGCCTAACACCAGCACTGACTTGTCTCCAGCATGGCATCCACTACCTACTTGCTGATGCTATAACTCATCATGTACCTTTTCACCCACAGCCCGACCTAGACTCATCCCCACTTCAACATCGACAGCAATGGCGTTCTTACTTGCTTTCAGTATGTCCTCATCGAACTGTATACGACCCTTCTGGAATGCGACAATGATGGACGACCCTCCAAACTGGAAGATCCCAAGCTCATCACCCTTTTGTATCTGATTCCCCGGTTGCTGATACTGCGGATGAATCCTACTAAACATTAGCACTCTTCAACTGCCAACCATACTCATGAACTGCATACCTCACAGTTCCCACCTGCGAAGCCCCAATAGCCACAAAAAGCACATCCCCAAACTCCTTCGTCTCGATAACCACATAATCTCTCGCATTCCTCGTCAAGATGTCCACCTGACTCTGCAACGCTATCGGATCCACCTCGTAATAGTCTCCCGGCATGCTTCGAAACTGCTTAATAGTCCCCGAAACCGGACTATGATACCGATGATAATCCTGCGGCGACAACCGAAAACTCGCAACCGGGCCGTCCGCGAACTTCGGCCCCAATTGCTTATCCATTACCAGATTTGTAATAGAAAAATCATTCCCTTTGATCCAGATTTTCTTGCTCTCGGCTACGGCTTCGTAAGCGACGACTCGCGAGTCGGCAACTATCACTGCAGCTGTGGGGTCGTCTTTACGGTAGATGGGGCGCGAGCCAGGCTTGTGGGCACGTACGAAGAAGTCTTCGAATGTCGCGTAGGCTGTTATGTCGGAAGGGGTGAAATCGTTCATATTGATGCGGTAGAAGTCAACAAAGGCCTTGATGCGATTCCGAGATGCAGGGCTGGCTTCTTCTTTGCCTGTTGGGGTCAACACTGAGTCTGGGGAAAAAGAGAAATATAGAAAGGGAAGTGATTATGCTACCTTCCTCAATGGCTGCATGGTGCAGGTATAACCGCATCAGATGGGTGGTATCAAGCCACTCTGTCAACGGGTTGAACAAGAGAAGCAGCTTGAGCTTCTTCCATAGCGGCTGCTGTTCCCGCATGTGTTTACCAGTCTGTCTCCTGTAAGTACGACGCAAGTATAGAGCGATCGGGGAGGATATTACCTTGCGCTCTATGGTAATCCATCCAACCTCTCTGTTTTGGACCTGAGATCCGTTAATTACTGTGGTATGCGACATGGGATATGGTTTACCATCTTGATCGAAGACAGCAGGTAGTCTGCTATCCAGTGCAAAACTGTAATAATAAACATCCTGGCTACTGTTATGTTTTCAATGCTTGTGAATCGCAAGCTCTTTTCTTTTCCTTCGCGATAGAAGTGTGATCAAAACTGTCGCGATGCAACGGCGATGATGTCAGCATGACGGCTTTCCGATAGCTACCCAAAAGTCATCCTCCACATCCTATGCATGAAGCAGTGATCATAGACTAAAACAACACCATGTTAGACTACTGTACTATAAAGTGTTAGTGCCGGTATACCATAACTATCTAGATATATTCTTCAGTAGTAATACAACCCCCCCCGGGTCACAACCTCCCCTCTCGCCCGGAATGTAAGAGGTAGTAGAAAATAATTGGTCATTGTTCGGGTATTCTCGGTTTTCTTGAAATATAGAAGAACTTGGTAGTATCATAGGATTGAATTGCCTGTTTTAAACGTTGAAAGAAGGTTGAGCAGGCCTTCCATCCGTAGATTTCGAAATACAGTTGAGGAATAAAGGGCACGTTAAACTATTTGAGGTTTAACACTGACATCTGTCAGTTACTCTCTCATACTGTGACTTACTATCGTTGCTCTTCTTACTGGCTGTGATCTGCAAGTTTTAGCTAGTACTAGTAGTGATACATGCTATCGTGCTTGCGCATGTTTACTAGTAAGTTAATCATGTATTGTATAAAGACGAATCAATATAGTTAGTGTCCCCTTGCTCTTACTGCATCTAATTTGGAAATCGAAGAGTGTGTTTTCCAAGCTATCTCTATATTAATTCACAGCTTCCTTTGATAAGTAATAAATAGCTTCCACAAATCCAAGCTGTGAAAGTCGTCAGCCAATTATATTGGCAATTTGACTTAAATTCCTAATCTGGAAGGGTACGCGATAACACTCGATAAGCCAGCGACTACAAACAAACGAGACAAACAGACAGCATCCCGTGACCCAGAGAGACAACTCACATTCACACGAACCATTCATACAACCTTACATAGCAGGGCTCCGTCAAGTCAAAGAATATGAATGTGAATATGAGTTGATTTCAACCCATACAGTTATATCAAATGAAACCATTATTTCAATCCTCCCGCTAACAGCAAACTCTGCCCCGTCATATACCCCGTCCCCACTAACATAGTGACAACATTAGCAACCTCCTCCGGCAATCCCAGCCTCCCCAGGGGTATCGTGCTTGCCACCTCCGGAATTGCCTCGGCATTAGGAATCATTCCCGTATCTCCAATCATCGCCGGCGCAACATCATTGACACTAATATTGTACTCTGCTAACCTCGTTGCCAAGTTCTTCATCATGCCCGTCAACCCTGCCTTCGATGCCGCATAATGACACCCATTAATGCCGCCTCCATACCCCGCAATCGACGACATGAAGATAATCCGCCCCCAGCGCTGCGCCTTCATGTGCTCGACTACCCCTTTGACGAGCAGGAAGGAGGCCCGCAGATTCACGGTCAGAGTGTAGTCAAATTCCTCTGTCGTGATGTCCCATACTTGCGGGACGCGTTTGCCGTACCCGGCATTGGAGATGAGGATGTCTGGGGTGCGGTTGCTGTGTTGGGCTTGGATCTCGGTGAAAAGGGTAGTTATTTGGCCGGGGGAGGAGACGTCGACTTGATGGATTGTGATGAGGAGGGTGGGGTGTTGGGTTTGGAGTTCTTGTTGAAGGGTGGTTATGGTTGTGGGATTGGATGAGTAGGTGAGGGCTAGGTGCACATCTTTGGCGGCTAGTTGACGGGCGCAGGCGGCACCGATTCTATAGTCATCGTTTGTTAATCATGGATGTGTTGGTTTCAATTGTGGTATGGATGAGAGTGGAAGAGAGTTTACCCTCCTGAGGCGCCGGTGATGAGGGCCAATCGGCCACCGATGTCATTTAGCTGGTCCATGGTGAGTTTGGTGATGAGACTTGAGGATGGGAAAGATGTAACTGCTCAAGTATTAGTATTGGGGTTTCTGGGAAAGGATGGTAGATATAGTAGAACTGCTTGCTCCTAAAGTCTTTCCCCGCGGTCGGCGCAATTCCGGTCCCAACCCCGCGA